TAATTTTTTTTTTTTTTTTTTTAGTTTTTCTATTTTTAGTGGAGATGGAGTCTCCCTCTTGCTCAAGTTAGTATCCTGAGCTCAGGCAATCCACTCACGTTGGCTTCCTAGAGTGCTAGGATTACAGGTGTGAGCCATCCTGCCTGGCCAAAAACTGAATGTTTGTGTGCAAACTGGGTTGTGGGAAATGCAAAACGATCTTTGTAAAATTGTAAGAGAATCATGGACTTTACTCCTACTTTTGTTCTATTCTTTTCTCAGTTCATCTACCTCCAACAAATAAGCAACCAAAAGTCATCCGAAGAGCTAGATGTAAAAAATCTGATCTTCCCTTGCCAACCGTTTTGCCTTCCATTAATGATGTGGGTCGAGACACTTTGAGGAACTGGTGCCAGCAACTCAACTTGAGTACTGATGGCAAGGTTAGTAACACCAATGAAAACCTCTGCTGCTTGGAATAAACATGGCAACCTTTGTCAACTTTTAATTTTTATTTTCCCCTTAACTTCTTAAGAAAACAGAAGTTTTTCTGAGGCTTCAGGAGCATGCCTTTCCTGAACAGAAATGTGTGAGTAATGGGTGTTTTGATGGTGTGAAGAGGGTGGGTTCTAGAGTGTGAGATGTCTGCTCTTCCACCATCTCTACATGGGTTGTACCTCCAAGGTAGGGTTTCTTTTCTTTTTTTTTTGGTTGCAGTTTTTGGCTGGGGCTGGGTTTGAACCTACCACCTCTGGCATATGGGGCTGGTGCCCTACTCCTTGAGGCACAGGCACCACCCTTTCTTTTTTGGGAGACGGAGTCTCAAGCTGTCACCCTGGGTAGAATGCCATCTCGTCACAGCTCACAGCAATCTCAAACTCTTGGCTTAAGCGATTCTCTTGCCTCAACCTCCCAAGTAGCTGGGACTCTAGGTGCCTGCCACAATGCCCAGCTGTTTTTTCTTTTCTTTTTTTTTTTAGAGACAGAGTCTCATTTTATTGCCCTTGGTAGAGCACTGTGACATCATAGCTCACAGCAACTTCCAGCTCTTAGGCTTAGGCGATTCTCTTGCCTCAGCCTCCTGAGTAGCTGGGACTACAGGCACCCACCACAATGCCTGGCTATTTTTTGTTACAGTTCGGCTGGGGCCAGGTTCATACCAGCCACCCTCGGTATGTGGAGCCAGTGCCCTACTCACTGAGCCACAGGCACCACCTTGGCTATTTTTTTTTGCAGTTGTCATTGTTGTTTAGCTAATCCAGGCTGATTTCAAACCCGCCAGCCTTGGTGTATGTGGCTATAACCACTGTGCTACAGGCACCGAGCCTACGCCCTAGTTTAGAAAGCCAAAATCTTCTAATTGAGAATCGCTGCTCTAAGACACCTAATATTCCTAAACCCTTCCCAAATTGACATACATGTTCAGGTCGATATAAAGAATGATAAATTCAAAACAAAAGTCCTTAGGGCAGTAGTACTCCACTGAATAATACTCATCATGAATTTCATTTGCAGGTAATTCCTGAAACACCAAAGGAGGCCAGATTACATTCATGTTCAAGGAAACTCAAAGCAGAGACCAAGAGAGCAAGACCTCAGGAAAGGTCCAAGATGAGTGTGAAAACAGAAGAGCTCAATAGAGTAGAAGTGATAACATCAGCCCAGGAATCTGCATTGGCATCGTGGGCAAGGATTGCTGCCAAAGCTGGTCAGCCTAAGACTATGAATTCACGGTCTATTCCTGCTTCTGCTGAGGCCTTTTTGA